CTGAACAATTGTTCACCTGGAATGTGGGCAGAATGCCATGTCTCTGGCTGGATGCAGAAAAACATTTTTGAGAAGTGGTTCGACAAATTCATCGTATTTTCTTAAGCAACCAAGGAGAAACCAGTCCTGCTATTGTTGGATGGTCATTCAACTCATATACAGAGTCTGACCATAATTGATAAAGCAAGGGCTAATGGTGTGGTCATTCTCTGTTGGAATTGGCTACTACCAAATCCAGGAAAAGTTGTTACTTAATTTCAAATCGTTGAGATTTTGGGCAAAGACTTTCTCAGGGCTGCAACTATATTGACTGCGATAAATGGTTTCAAAAAAACTGGAATTTGCTCTGACGAACCAAATATCTTTCCAGATTCAGTGTTTAAAGCTTCTATCACAACAAACATTCCTTTAATTACAAATGAAGCCGCTAACATTATTGTCAATAGTGACCAAGGAAGTGCTTCAAATGGCTCGCGTAAGCAGGTTATACCACAGACAAACGATGGTTCTTGCACCAAGCCGAACCTAAAGAGCAAGATGCGTTTGCTGAACCTTGGTGCTCACATTGGAATGATAGTAACTCCAATAACCACACCACAAACCAACAAGCTCCCAAGAACAACACCTATCATCAACTAAGATCCTTTGCGGTTTCTCCTGAACAAATTGTTCCTGTTCCTCATGTCAGAAAGAAAAACATCCGGAAATCATTCCACACAACAGGAAAAACTGTTGTTGTAACTAGTTCGCCTTACATAAAAGAACTTCTAGAGAGTGTAAATAAAGTTAAGCTCGGTAAAAAGAAGGACCAAGAAGAAAAGCATGCAGAAGGAAAGAATGCAGAAGTGAAGAATGCTCCTAAGAAAAATGTTAAAAAATTGCTATTTATTCGTAAAGAAAAAAGGGGAAAACATAAAAAACAATAACTAATCTGCCAAAAGAGATAAAAAAAGAAAAAAAGGAAGAAGGAAGCACGTCAGATGAAGATGGCACTGCGTGTTTGTATTGTGACCATTTCTACTCTCAGTCTATAGAAGGATGGCTGTCATGCGTCTCCTACAAAAAGTAGGGTCACTGTTCTTGTGCGGGAGAGGAGGACGAGGATGCCGAGGTACACCATATCTGTGAATTTTGCTTACAAAAGGACGATGAGAACTGAATAATAAATCCGTAACTTTTCAGATGATACAAACTAAATGTTACTTGCGACTAAAGTATTTATCCTTTTGAACATTTTTTTCAAACAATGTCAAGATTTTTTTTAATTATTGAAATAAGTTTTTTGCATTTGAATAAATCTGTAATTTAAAAACCTATGCATTTCCAATTATTGAGCTACCCCATCTTACCCTCACTATAGGGCAAGATGGGGTACTTGAAAAACCCTGAAAAAAATTTTTTTCCTACCATAAATACTAATTTTTTTTTAGTCCTAATTTTTGAAATTAACTTCAGAAATACTGAAGTTTTAATTACATTACCTTGTATTTGTGTTGAGCATTTCTTACGACTACAAAAATTTTTTAAGTGCTTAAGTACCCCGTCTTGCCCTACCTTCCCCTACCAGAACAGTAAATCCCACTGGACGATCGCTACGCTTTTATACACGTTGATACACGTTTGTTTGTCGCAGACATATATATAGTCAGACGAAACCCGTCGATAACTAAAAGCCGATTAATAGGCTATCGGTCGATAAAGTGTTAATATACAATTAGGGTTATAAAGGGTGTCATTATATTAGCAACAGTTAGGTGCCAAATTTCATTCTTCTATTTCTCCATAGTGGATTTATCAAATAAAAACAATTTTTTCCCCTAACTTTACATGGCTGTAACCAAGGTTTATACATATTTATATAAAAGGTTGTCTAGGTTCGTACGCAACCATACTGCGCATTACGTCACATGTGGAAAATAATACCGCCAAGCAATTCAAATTAAACAAATGCACGGAGCACCACATGGCCATGAGGTTGCGTGCGCAAACTGTGATCGCTTACGTCACGAAACACTGCTGCTCTTGCCAATTGCCCACAAACTAAAATCAAAGTATTGCAGCATAGGAACTTAGATAACCTTTAATATAGATAAAAATGAAACTCAGGAGGACTCGCAGTCAGGGTGATTGGGATTATTACAAATCTCTGCGTAACTACACCACTGCAGCTGTGAGGAACGAAAAACGTGCTTATTTTGCTTATTTGACAGAACAAGGAAGTAATAAACAGATATGGAATGAAGTTAGAGGACTTGGGGCTATGACGGATGGCAGGGCGTCGTCCTTACCATCGAATTTGCAGAATCCTGTCCGTATTAACAGTTATTTTGTAGATAGTGTAAACGAGCTTGTGGATAGTTTGCCATCTGTTAATTTGGATTTTTATAAGCATAATGCATGTCAAAATCAATTTGTATTTAAAAATGTAAATGAGGCAGAGGTGCGGTCTATTCTGGCTTCTATCACATCTGCTTCAGTTGGGTGTGATGGTATTTCCATAGGAATGATACGTCTCTGCTGTCCGTTGATTTTGCCGTATCTGACTCATTTTCTCAATTGTTGTCTTTTAGAGAGTAAATTCCTTGTGCTGGAAGCAAGGGATAGTTATTCCTTTGGCAAAGGTTGATGATCCCAAGCAATTGAAAGATCTTAGACCAATAAGTATTTTTCCAACGTTATCTAAGGTGCTTGAAAAAATTATGAAGCAGCAGTTGGTGAGTTACGTGGAGAGTAATGGCTTGTTGCCTCAAAACAAAATGCCTGGGTTTAACAATAGATAATACCTTCAGATTTAAAGCTCAAATTAATATTTACATGAGAAGGTCGTATCCATGTTTAAGAGAGCTTTATCCTCACCGATCCGTTCTTTCGATAAAATTAAAAAACAGTTATGTGATTCTCTTGTGTTGTCTCACTTCAACTTTATGGTGCCTGTGTATCATCCAGCTATAGATGTGCTTACATCGAATCGCATACAAAAAGTTCAAAATAGCTTTCCTTAGGTTCATTTTTTGAATCCGGAAGTATGACAGAATCTCACACAAACTTAAAGCTGTTGGGTGGCACAGAATGGATATCCGCCGGGAGTTGCAGTTTAGTTTTGTTTCATAAAATCGTCACAACACATATACCGACATACTTGTATGAGAAAATTACTTTTAAAAGGGCTAACATTGCTCTACAAACGAGATTAAATATGGTATATATTCATCAAAATACAGAACCTCTTTGTTTCACAGATGTTTTACGTATCACATATATAAGTCATATGGAACGTTACCGCCTATGATCAAAAAACTAAATATCAATAATTTCAAAAAAATACTATATAAAGATAAATTTTTGGAGCAATGTGTAGCCTTGCTATAGTTATTCATTTGAATGCATTTTTTTTAACATTCAGAGCAGGAGAGGGAGGAATATTCAAGAAATTGTATTATCGTTGTCGTGGGACGCGTGTAGTATAATTAATATTAAGTTTCTGTATGTGGTAAGGTTGGTTGAACAGATTTTATCTGGAGCCCGCCTATTGCACAATGCCATTCTTTTTTCTTTTCTTTTTTTTGTAGTGTTAGGTACTAAGTTTTTTGATTTCTTGTTGTTTAAACAAAAGAAATTGTATATATAGAAGCAGTTGTAAACACTAAAACTTGAAGCCGACGCAACACGCGGTTTGTTTACTAACAACCTTTGTCGAAACCGGTTGAAACAATGAACGTGCACAGATCGGCCCAGCGGCCGATTATCGCCGAACATTCCCGTATATTATTGCCCGTAGAATAAGGCATACACTAAAATAAATAAACCTATTTGCGAATCAATAAATGATTCGTTTTTCTTCATTTTTATTTATTTATATTTTCTTTGTAAATATTGTATGTAGAGTATACTAGTACTTTTAGTTAAATATAAAACTTATCAATCGTAATACTACATATATACATTCTTGTATCATTTACCAAGTATATTGTTTCTACGTCCTCTGATTAATTTAAAAAATTACATTATATTTATTGTATTTAATACTTTCAAGTCTTATTAAAACTTGACAAAGATATAGAAAAAAAATGTATTCTACAATTTATAAAAGTGTTACGACAATAATTTTTCAATTAGTAGCTAGTTTAATAATTAATTTTTAATTGTAATTTTATATAAGAAATTAGGATGCTCTTTGGATACGCCGCTGGATAAAGTCTGACCAATTTCATCTAAATCGTACACGCCACTGTCGCTAGGACCAAGGTCAATTTTGTTTCCAAACAAATTCTCTTGCGTTGGCTTCAAACCGGTATACGGGCGAACATAGGCGATGCGGCTTCTATATATACAATTTCTTTGGTTTAAACATTCTAGTTTAGAATATATCTACACTATAGATACAATTTTTGTTATTATTATACTTATATATATATTTTTTTCTTTTGTTGTATTGAATGGTATGTGCAATAAAGACATTTAGTATTATTATTATTATATAAACCTTGGGCTGTAACTTGGAGGAGAAGTGGTTTTGAATAAAAAGTTATATGAAAGACACTCCTTAATTTTTACTGAAAAATCATCCCTTGAAATCTTTCGCATCAATTTAGAAACACCTGCATAGTTGATTTAGTCGCACATTAGCTTTATTAAGTTTTTGGTTGATATTTTTTGATTGGTAAAAGTCCCAGTGAAGTCAGGTATACTCCAGATATTTAACAGCGTCGCTTGACCATTCTACAACTTCGTTATTAGCTAATACCACTGGTAGCTCTCGGAATCTTCCTAGTTAATTGTGTTTTGTAATGACTCAGTTATAACAGTAATATTATTGTTCTATTGCGCTAATTGGTGTCATCTGCAAACATTGATAGCATTCCTAAGACAGTCGTGAACATATTCACACGTAATTGTGGCTCTTTCGAAAAATAAAGTGTTTACTTTAAAAAAATTTGAAATGGAAGAGGAAAAAATAAGATATTAACGAAAATTATGGTTTAAATTGAAATGAAATTAGGTTGTTAATAAAAAATGTATTTTGATTAATTTCGAAACAATTAACATCGTTTTAAAACCTTGAATTAAAGTATTTCTTTGTGTAATACTAACAATACGAACATCATTGAAAGGTTTATAATAAAAGCAAAAACTGAGATCAAGGATTAACTCCTTTCATTCAACTTTATGATATTAAAATTTTAATAAAACTAGTTTTAACATTTTAAATGTTATAATCGTATCGAACACACCGAAAACGAAATCGTCTCGTTCACACTTAAATAATTACTGATAACGAAACGGCGGAAACAATCTTGTTTATATACGATTAGAGAAATGTTTTTTTTCCCCAAAGTTTTACGAATTGAAGATAAATAATCACGCTATATGGACTTTATCGCCACAATTGTTCTGCATGAAAGCCATCTTACATACCCAATAGATTTGATGTAACTGTTGTTGGTAATCGGTTCAATATTACTTTCTGAGTAACACAATTTTGCAATTCCAGTCGTATTTTCCATTTAATTTTAAAATACAAATTTTAAATCAAACACTTTAATAGATATTTGTATAAACCTGAATTAAATAAAACTAATTTTAATCTTGATAATATTTAGCTAACTCTGGTAAACACGCATCCCGATCATCTCTTACGTTCCGATAAAGAAAATCGGAAATAAAGGTAATATTTACACAAAATATCCCTTGTTTTGCAAGGGGGATAAAAGAAGAAAAATCGGTTACTATTTTCGGATCAATTAAACAATGAGTTGCGTAGATATTATCTTCAAAAGGTGCGCTAAAATAAAAAGATTTAATTTCAAATCTAATAATGAAATAAAAAATAATTACGTAGCATTTACAACCATCCCACCACCAGCCTCGATTATCCTCACCATAGCATCTCGCTTAGCAGCAAAAATTATTGCTCTCATGTCGTGGAAAGCTCCATATCCTCTTTTAGCTACTTCAACTCTCCAATAATGTAAAGGTTCCATCCAAAGCTTTTTATCTTTATCAAATTGTACCGTTATATCCTTATTCGCTGATGGATTTCCATATTCGAATGGTTCACAATTTAAAAATCGATTTTCTTTCGTGCACGCTTCAATATACGATGGATGAAGAATCCATTTCCCAGCTGCTATACAGGATAACATTTTTTCTGTACGCTGTGGTTTCGGTGCTAAAAGATGCGTTCCGTCGGGATCGTAAAATGGTAAAGTTGACACTTTTCCTCCTAATTCTCCGATTTGTTTTATTAGGTTTTTTCTTAATTCATTTTCGATTGTTGATAGCATAAATACTGGCGTAGGCTAAAATTATTAAAAAATAATTAATTTTTATAAAAAATGTTTTTAAATTAAATTTTGTAACGTTGGTAGCTTAGTTGATAATTTCAAAACATTTTTTTTAATTAACTTGTTAAGGACCGGTTGTACAATATACCGATAAATCTACCTGATAACTATCCGGCCAATAAACTTATCGGGAGGATGAAGATATTCGCTGTTTTTGTCGGTAGGATTGCTATCGGTGAAATAAGAGTCGATTGGTAGCACTTTCTCCCAAATATCTAGTAATTTGTGCCGCAGGTTGGTAACGCTAAAGTCTTTCTTTGAAATTTGAATCGTTTTGACAATATAATTGTTTAAAAAAAATTTTCATGACACACAACTGACACAACGTACGTATAGGGTTAACGGTTAATCTATGAAGTAAACCTATGTACATAAAATGCAACATGTCAATATAATTTGACGGTACAATAAAATCTCGATATATTATAGCTTAATGAAAATATACAACAATCTAGCGCTGAATACCAACTAAAACTAGAACTAACACTAGCACTAGACCTAGAAACAATCCACTTAGCCGTGCGCCTCTTAAGACGACCTGAAAAGAAACCTGAATGTTTCTAGCTCTAGGTCTAATGTTAGTTCTAGTCACAGTTCTAGTGACAGTGCTAGGTAGCGCTAGATATCATTGTGTTGCAAATTTTTATTGAACTTTCTAGTTGCAGGTCTAGTGTTAGTTCTAGTTTTACACTAGCACTATCACTAGAACCAGCACAAGATCTAGAACTAGAATCATTCGGGTTTAGCCGTCTTGAGAGACGTGCGGCTAAATCCGAATGATTCTAGTTCTAGGCCTTATGTCAGTTGTAGTGATAGTGGTAATACAAAACTAGAACTAATACTAGACCCAGATCTAGAAACTTTCGCATTTAGCCGTACGTTTCTCAAGACGGCTAAACCCAAATTATTTGAGGTCTAGGTCTTGTGTTAGTTCTAGTGGTAGTGCTAGTGTAAAACTAAAATATGTCTAGTTCTAGTGTTTAAGCATGTAATTCTAGTTTTAATTGTTATTCAGCGTTATTAACTATCGGCGAAATAAGAATTAGTTGGTAGTAGTATTTCCCCATGAGAGAGGGTTTCGTCCAATCGGAAAAAATGGTCCTGGTGTGTGTTTCACAGACAGAACGGCGCGCCTTATTTCTTTATGTAGGTAAGATAAACGCGTACTGCAGTACTAAAAACGTACTGTCTGGAACGCACCATCTTTTACGATTGGACGGAACTCCTCCTTACCACGCAGAGTTTATTTCTGTTTCTGTTTAATTTATAATTAGCTTAAATCGCTCTAAAAAAAATAGAGAGACAAAACTTTGAAAAACCGATAAACGCAATTATTTGACATATTTTGGTCAAATCCGAGAGGACATCCACTAAGCCGTTTTCGACTAGTGATGTAACGGATATTCGCATCCGCAACTGCGGATTATCCGTATTGTTTTGAGGATCCGCATCCGCATATATTTTAATGGAGCTATGATAAATAATTACTAAATACAAATTAATAATTACAGATTACTATTAATTACAATAGAAATATTATTTTCATTAAAATTTTAATACGTAACTTTTTTTCAATAACTCAGCATCCGTTAAATCCGCATCCGCAAAATTAGAATTAAAAAATCCGGTTCCGCATCCGCTAAACTCATATCCGTAACATCACTATTTTCGACATAACGGCGTCTTACTAAACCATGATTTTCCGCGAAACTGTATGGAATATCGAAAAAACAAAATATGCCACTCATTAAGAATACATCAGGCTACCACTTGTTCAAAATTCAAATTTTTTAGTACTATAGTTTTCGAGAAAAAAATCGCAAAGTTAACAAAGTTGCCGGTACCGTAAAAAAACCGGGGACTTTTTTCATATAACTCGCGATAAAAAGAAAACCGCGGGTCCGAAAATGTTTAAATTAACATATACAGGGTGCCCATTGTGTATGGAATATAGTATACAGCCTGATTCAGAGTAAGCGCCTTATTTTAGTACTACTTTCAAAATATTTGGCAGTAATATGTTTTAGGTCTTTTAGTACATTCTCTCCATGATGGTGATACCACATTTTCAATTGGACGAATTATTACAAAATGGCGACTGTCAACTTTTTTTTTTAAATGGAATGCCAATTTTTTTTTTATTATTGATATCCTAAAAACATTCTTTATAGTATCTTGTTTTTCTTAAAAATTCATTTCTTTCCCCATCAAAAAGCACAGTTTTTAATCTAGTAGCACATTTTTTACACTCGATGTTATTTTTGTCCAAATATCAAGTAGCGCTAGACACAAAAGAAACAATTAAGCTTTATTTTGTAATAAACATCTACTTATATATTTATTTGGAGAGAAGAATCACCTCTTGAAGTTTGTTGCAGTCATTCAGATACACCTGTATATATTTTTTTGAAATTGTTATCATAGTTTTATATGCAGGTGTTTATATTGGAACAAGAACTGCAATAAACGATAAGAGCAGCAATGAGAGCAGCGATAAGAGCTGCGCAAATTTCGTTTCTATGATATGCTGTTTATAGTGGAGCGTTGATCTGTTGTGGTGATTTTTATCTTTTTGGTCCCACAAGGGGGATCTAACAAAAATTTCACTAATTAAACAGTCGATATCCATGCCGACCACACCTGATAATAGCAAAGAAAATAGTGAATACAATTAGTATCGCTCTTATCGTTAGTCGACTGTCAAGCATGTGACAACGCTCCAATATAAACACCTGCATATAAAACTGTGACAACAATATCGTTATTTTGCTAGTATCGTTTATCGCAGCTCCAACGTAAACGCACCCTAAGGCTCCGTTCACGTGACAATAATCTGACTTGCGATTAGTAACCGCGCGCTTTGATATCCAATGTATTCAAATACAACCATTCATATGAACGCGAGAACTGACACGCGTTCATATGAACGGTTGCATTACGGGGTTACTCAACTTGACTCGGGGCCGATAAGGCCGCCCCGTTGAGTACCCGATAAGTTATACTGCCGATAATCTCACCGACAAAAATATCCGTACATTGTAATACAGTACAAACTAACTTATTGGCCAAATAATTTTATCGGAAAGTTTGCACATTGTACAACCGGCCCTAATTCAAACTCCAAAACCAGACTGATGGAAGTTAACCACATAATAATAAACAAGTACAAAAAACAAGTCAACAAATGTTATTTTATCAACTCGAAACGATGTTAATAAATACCAAATGGATTATGTTCATAAACGTCAGATGTCAATTATTCGTAACTGTCAGTCATTATGACACATCAAAATGCTATTCATTCACAACTGTCATCTTGACATTTCACACGTTTCAGACGCACAGCTAAACCCAAAACTGTCTAGTTCTAGTGTTAGATAGTTGTATATTTTTTTTAATTAAAGATAGAATTAACACTAAACCTACAAACATTCGGGTTTATCCGTACGTCTCTAAAGACGGCTAAACCCGAATGTTTCAAGTTCTAGATCTATACTATTTCAAGTTCAAATTGGCACTAATCAAACTCAAAAAGGCATTAAACAAAACTAATTTGGCGATTGTCATAATCAAATAGGCATTAATCAACATCAAAATGACATTAATCAATTACAAATCGTCACTGATAACAAACTATGTATAGTAGACGCCACGAGAGCTGGCAGTAAATTATCGTTTTCCGCTCTTACAAATGCCATACGTAGTTCACAAACCGCTAGAAAGTAATGTATGTTAGAAAGAGATAGCATTAGTTTAATATGTTTGCTGTACAATTCAAATGGCCACGTTGAAAAAGTAGGTCTGTTCTTCTAAGGGATGTAACTCTATAATTATAACCTCAAATCGAAACGTCTTGTCAGCGTTGTCATGAATCTGTTAGTGTTTTCACAAGCCGATAACGTTTTCTTTGAAAGGAAAATCATTAGATAATATCTTTGACAATGTTTGACATATAACCTCCATTACTAACAATTAATAAGCATTTTATTGTTTTTGATAATTACAATTTTCCCCTTAATACATCTTAATATATGTCATTAGTATATTATTTTCACCCTCTACCCTCTTCCTCCATTTCCATACCCTCGGCTCCTCGGCCCATTCCTCCCCTCATCCATCCCTTTGTCTCCTCACCCCCACAACCATTCTCATCCATCGTTTACCCTCTCTCCTAAGATCTGCCCTCGGTCCAAATCCTCCTCCCTCAACTCACTACACCCATTCAACATATGTTTCAACGTTTCCCATTCCTCCCTGCATAGCCTACACCACCTCTCCTCATCGGCCATCCAGTATCTGTTAGCTCTCTCCTCGTTTCCACAACGGAACCTAGCCACCAACTTCTTCCCTACCTCATCTCCTTCTAATAACAAGTATCTAGGCAGCCCCTCCTTAATTATGTCCCTGTACCTTTCGTTATACCTCCCCTCTTTTATTTGTGTCCTTCTTTCCTGTCTCTGCACATCTCGGTCCCTATCTCTCAACTCCCTCCACATCTCCCTACCCACCCTTCGTCTACTATTTATCTCAGTTACCGAGTAGCCCGCTCGTCTATAATAGTTGTCTCTGTCTCCTTTCCCATATCTGATCTTTCCCTCTCTAATTTCCCTCCAACATTCCCCCAAGATCCCGCAGTACCTCCATTACTAACATAACCTACATTTAAATGTGTGTGGTGAAATGATCTAAGTCGTACGTCCATATCTTGATTCATTCCATTTTTAAGCGATCTGTCACTGCCAGCTCTAGTGGTTTCTACTATATCTACAAAATGCCTTATATTAAGAAAAAAGGAAACAGCAAACGTAAAACGTCAAATTTGTGCCATTTACAATACGAATTGCGTCTGGTGAAATTTAGCTCAAATTCTTGGTGTTGCAAAAAGAACAGTTGAGATGGGTAAATAATCAAGAAGAAAACCCAAGAGAAGGAAAACATAAAATAAAAATTACAGATGACCATCACAGTTTCTTTGAACTTAAAGTTGAAGAAAACTCTAAACTCACACTTAAGCAGTTGCAAGAAACATTACGAAATGAGTTTCAGCTTAATGTAAACAAGGAGTGTATTCGACAACACCTTGATGGCCTCATGTTTACATTAAAACAAATACGTTTTGAACCGGAAAGAACCAACACCGTCGAAGTGAAAACAAAAACATCTGAATACATAAGAAGTTTGCTTGAGCTTAAAAGTGAAAACAATCTATTTAGACGAAACAAACTTTAATTTCTTTATCTCGCGAAGTCAAGGTCGTTCAAAAAAGGGAAGTCGTTGTACTTTCATTGCTGCCAAGTTTGTTAGGCAATGCTTAAGGAGAGGTCAAGATAGCTAATGGTCAACAGCTTTAGTCATTGATAGTGCTCCTTGTCATTGTGGTATTGAACAAGTGTTGAAGAACAAGAATTTCTTCATCATAAATTTGTAAAGCTAAGTCCTTACAGTCCAATGCTAAACCCAATTGAACACTCTTGGTCTATTTTGAAAGCAGGTATAAAGGCGGATTTGGCGAATGCAGTTATAAATATTTTGGAAGGAAATGACCGAGAAAATTTGTCTCAAACAGAGCACAGAATACAAAATTTAGAAAATATAATTAGAAACAATATTCCCAAAATTAATGTAACTAACTGTGACAAGTTTATAGCCGGAATTCAAAAGCACATCACCTCTATTTTAAACATGGAGGATGTCACCTTTTGAGTTAACAATATTGTTTATTACCAAGTAAAATTATGCGTTTAAAACGTTAATCACGAATCAAAGATTGTTTTGTTAAATTATTGAATGCCAATTTGATGTTGATTAATGTCATTTCGATTTTAATCAATGCCAATTTGATTATGACAGTTGCATTAGTTTTGTTTAATGCCATTTTGAATTTCATCAGTGCCTTTGATTATATATAATATGGATTGAGCCAATGAGAGAGATAGCTTGCGCAAGGTGATCGAACCGAGAAAGACATAGAAGCGTACTGACATATAATGGGCGTGCGTTAATTTATAAGATAAAAAACTATCAATTAGAAGTAACATTTATAATACTTACAGGTGATGTGAAACTGTATTATCGCGAACTTTGCACACGAAACAATACATTTTTAAACATAACGGTGTGACTGGCTGTGACACAACAAAACGATAAACGTCAAATGGAAGAGGTTTGACACTTTTGTGCGCATGCGCCCGTCTGTTTAGTACCGTTTTATGTCTATCTTTGTTACACTTTCACATTATCGCTTTCCATCTGCGTCTATTCACCTTGAGCCACATTTTTGTTAGTAGATATATTCAGTTAGCTCAATCCATATTATATATAATCAAAGATCAGTGCCAATTTGAACTTGAAAAGGTATAGTGTTAGTTCAGCGCTAGTGTTAGCTATGGTTTTAGTTGTTATTCAGCGTTAAATAAATAATAATTATAAATAAACCATTACAATCTGTTCTTGTTTTTTTTCCTTTTGCGAATACTCCTCCCAACCAACAGTCCCTGCTTGAGAATTTTTAATTTCCGTAACTGATTCACTACAAGATTCTTGATTAAAATTCGATTTTTTTCGGATTAAACTATTTTGGTTATTTGACATCGATATTTTTCTTTGCAATTTATCTAAATTACTGTTTATTAAAGCTTTCCGCGGGGTATCCTAAAAAAGAATTATTAAATCTTAAAAAGAAACAAATAATACACTTACATTTGACTCCTCCTGAGTTTCATTTTTATTTAAAATACTACTTAAATTAATTTCATCGGTGGTTCCTTCCGGGGTTAATTCAAAATTAGGTTGCGGGATTTTTTTGGGAGTTTCATCTTCGTGTAAAATTTTCTTCCATAATCTTCGTTTTAATTCAGAAAAGGGCTAAAATATAATTTATTGTAATCGAAATTAATATTAAAGTCCATTTTTAACCAGTCTATAATTAAATTCTAAGGGTTAGAGTATGAAAATGTACTTTTACTGGTTTAAATTTATTGTTTTCTTCAAAAATTTTGACATGTTTCGCCTGAACAATGCAGGCATCATCAGAACTACAAAAAATAAATTTATCAAAAGACACAGAACAGCTTAAATATAGAACTATGAAACTACTCTTGCTTTAAACTTAACTAATTTACTTACAATGAAACGCACAAGATATAGAATATTATCAATTAATTTGGTAATACACTTTTATGAAAACCATGAACCTTGGTAACAGATACAAAAAACTAATCTTCATCATACCATCAGAACAAAAAGTAAATTACATTAGAATAAACTAAATCACTATATTGAAAAACCATTTAACATTTATTTGTCTGATTTTACGGAATTTTTAATGTGATTTCAATAACCGGTATCATGCTTTAAAAACATGTTTCATGCAAGAATATCTAAAAATATCATAACCAAACTGTGTATGTATAAAAATATAAAATAAAATACAACGTTCGGACAAGTTGTCGATAAAATAAAATTAATTAATAAACACAAACAAATCTCAGCTGGGAAACGACAAAGGATAAGCAACCATGACTATTATTATTATAAAGCAAATTAAAATATTGCTTCCTAGAAATTGATTATTTACAACAAAATTTAAAGTTAATAGTAATCATACAAGCACACCCGTTTAAAGAAAGACTACTGAAGGTTTTGTGGAAAAAGAAAAATGACAAATTAGCAAGGTTGAGAAACAAAGCGACAAAAGACAATCAAATCAAAGACAAAGACAATCAGTTCACACAGCAGGAATTAGATTTCCTTAACAAAGGACATAAATACGTACCTACACCCAGGTTTTTGAATTTACCAAAATTAGCTATAATAATAAGCGTTATTTCCATCTTTACAAAAATGCACAGAAAACGTGAAATAATATTCAAACAGTCTGATTTAATCTACTGTAATGGTTCCAGAAAAAAAATCATTTATCGAATACAAGTTAAAGACATAATTAAAAATACACAACAAGAGGAGTCTTTGAAGAAGGATTTTATAGAGGTTCTTAAGAGGGAAGAACTCATGACCATAGCTTTTAAAATCAGCAATTCTATATGGGCAAAAAGTTTACAAAGAAGGCTTTTTAAATTATACGTAGAAGAAAGCGGCCACGAACTATGTACTGAGCTTGTGATGCATATTGAGGTCAGGTGGTTAAATAGAGGCAAGTTCTTACAGCGTTTTCGCGATTTAATTGACGAAATTAAACAATTTCTTATTACAAGAGGCGACGATTACAGGATTGTTATAGGTTGTTGGAAGATGATATTTGGCTTTTAGATTTGTCTTTTCTGACAGATATTACAAGTAAGCTGAATGATATGAATTTAGAACTTCAAGGACAGAATAAAACAATTTTTGACATGATGAATTCTGTAAATACCTTAAAAAAACTAATCATAATGTTATCTAGAACGAATAATAATAATTTCACTTTATTTCCCAATATGACGTCTCAATTAAAAAATATTGCTGCTACCGATATCGATTTAAATAGGTATAAAAATGAATTTAAAAACCTAATTGCAGAGTTTGACAATCGTCTTCAAGATTAAAAAAAAATTGATGATGTGGCACTTTTAATCACTTTTTCGTTTAATAAAAATATAAATATAGAAAAAGTTGCAGAGAAACTGTCCAACTTGTGCGAAATGGATGTACATAAGTTAAAATCAGAAATAACACTGCAAAACGATATGTATGTTAAAGCAAGGGCATCTGAAGAAAATTTTTGAAAATATTTATCGGAAGACAAGTATACAAAGTTTCGAAAATGTGTTGAGTACAAATTCTCAACACATTTTCGAAACTTTGTTGTGGTTCAAAATAATTCACCTGAACTGCATTTTCACAAATGAAAATAATAAAATCTAAATACCGAACGGCATTGACAGATACGCATTTAGAATCTTGTTTGAGAAATGCCCTAAGTAATTACATTCCCAACTTTAAAAAGATTGTAGACTCACAGCAGTGTCGAATAAGTCAAACATGTACCAATGCACCTGGAAGCTCAATTTAATATCTGTATTAAAACTTAAAATATTAATAAATGAGTTAAATGAAATATTTTTAATTTTAATCATAAAATGTCATAAAAAGGTGTCCTCTATCAATTGCCGCTTGTTTTCCTATAAACACTATTATTTGAGTTGAGTCACTTTAGTGTTAAAGGTGCGATATGATTGTAGGAGCCAGTAGGTAAAAAAGGAAGGTGAGTTTTAAAATGCAAAAAAAGATTTTAAACCCTTTGATCGATCTTGGCAAAACATTTATATAAAAAGTCGATCTTTGTCAAAAATTAGTTGACACTACTGCTCTAATACCACCAAGGATATATAGATTACCCAAAATTCATAAACCAGAGGTCCCACTACACCCTATTGTCAGTGTCATAAATTCTCCCATCTATCAGCTAGCAAAACACCTTACCAAGATTCTGTCTCCTTTTACAGGTAAAACAGAGTCATATGTCAGAGATTCCACACATTTTGTAGAATCCATCAGGAGTATAAAGCTAGACCCTCAGGATATCCTGGTAAGTTTCGACGTAGAATCTCTATTCACCAGAGTACCAGTCAAAGATGCCGTGGATGGTCATCGCCAGAAACTCATCCCGGAGGGTTTGCCCAAGTGTGTCCCAGGACTAGTGTACTGCCTATCGTCGACATATTTTAGCTGGAAGGCAGAGTTCTACGAGCAATGCGAAGGGGCAGCTATGGGATCACCTCTGTCACCTGTGATCGCCAATTTTTACTTGGAGAAGTTTGGAAAGGAAGCGTCCGTGGAAACCGAAGCTATGGCTCCGTTACGTCGATGACACTTTGGTGATCTGGCAACATGGAAAAGAGCAACTCCAGGAATTTCCAAACCACCTCAATTCACAGCACCCCATGATAAAATTTACCATGGAAACAGAAACTGCAAAACAGTTGCCATTCCTAGTTGTGTTGGTCACTAGGAAGACAGATGGGGCAATGGAACTGGGAGTATATCGAAAGTAGATGCATAGGAATAGGTACCTGTAGGCTTCATCCCACCACCACTCACAACAGAAGAGGTCCGTGATTCAAGCCTTATTCCAGTGAGCAGAGAGGATATGTGATAAAGAGACCCAAAGGAAAGAAGAAAGATTCCTAGAGGATGTGCTGCAGAAGAACGACTATACGATGAAGGATATCCGACGAGCCACCAAACCACGCAAATAGAAGGATGGCTCGGTAAGTACGACACCAACCGGTTTTATCTGCCTTCCTTATGTTTTAGGTGTAATGGAACGAATTGCGAGGCGTCTGAAGAAGAATGATATCGTGGTACGATACGGTACGGTCAGCAAAATACAAAACGCTTTTCCGATAGCCAAAGACAAACTAACCCCATTAAAGGTATCGGGAGTCTATCGGCTATCGTGCAGTTGCAGGAAATATTACGTTTGCCAAACTGGACATACCATCGAATGCCGCATCAAGGAACACGAGAGGGATGTCTGACTGAGAAAAATAAAAATAAACAATCTGCACTCGCAGAGCATTGCCACAAAGGAGGACACAGCATAGAGTTTCACAAAACGAAAGTGCTAGCAAGAAACGGACATTACTTCCAAAGATTGACGAGAGAAGCGATAGAGATTTATCGACATGGCAATAACATGAATAGAGAAGACACGGTTGGGAACTCAGCCGTACATGGAAGATGCTAGTAAACTCAACGATACCTTCTCCACCCGGATTTGACAAAAACAACTTAGTTGACAGTTAGACACTAATTGGTTATTGATTATCTTTTCATGTATTTATTGTCAAATTTTAACCGATTTCGTCACTTCCAACTTGTTTCTGAAGAAGGTTGCAACACAGCATGCAAAATGTCAAACATTTTTTTAAAAGAATTAAATTCGAAATCCATTCTACAAGTTTTTGATATACAGGGTGTTAGGTAAACATGCGGCAAAATTTCAAGGAGCTATTCCTTAGCCTATTCTAAGAATATTTTGTCCTACGATAATTTTTGAAAAACCTCTTTGTTTCGAAGATATTGGGCGAACAAAATTTGCGACAGTAACAACATTTCATTATCAAAAAGGACATGTAAAGTTGCTCAATCTACAATAAATGTTCGAAATGACTTGTTCCTTCTCGCCATTGACTGCCAAACTCTTCCAAGCACACCAGGGTCGTTTCTAATTGTGTTACACCCAGCAATTATCCGATTTCGCAAATCGTCCAAATTCTCCACTAGAGTAGTGTAAACTAATGATTTCAGATATCACCAGAAAAAATAATCTAGGGAGGTTAAGTCTGGGGATCGAGCAGGCTGTGCGTGTGGCTCACCTCGACCAATCCAGCGACTTCCGTATGTTGCTGTTAAAAAATTACGAACAACCAAACTGAAGTGTGGTGGCACATTGCAATTTTTGTCGCATATGGTACATCCTCCAAAGATTCAGGCAGCGTTTCTGCCCAAAAGTGGCATGGTGTGCCAGTAAGTCTTCCTGGTAGAAATACCGGTCCAATTAGATAATCATTCACAATTCCAACCCAAACATTGAAGGAGAATTGATGATGAAAATGATCTCCACATACCTCACGGGGATTTTCATCTGATCTGAAAATTCCTTATTGTATTTCTTGAGAAACTGACTTCATCGGTAAAAAGAATGTGTCAGGAATAGAGGGATGTCTAGCGATCCGCAGATCTGTTCAAATTTTATTAATTAATTATTGATATTTTTTTTATTTATTCTCGAAAGGAGGGGATCGCTGCTCGACTCATCCTTCCCTTCCTTTTCTTTTGTCTAATTGTTATAGTTGCAATTGTTTGATTGGTTAAACCGTACGTTGGCCAATAAGACCATTCTTAGAGTTAAGAGCATCCATGGGGAAAAACGTTTTCCTTTTGTTTTCCTTCCCTCTCTTTTGTTTAATTGCTGATGTTGCAATTTCTAATTGGTTGAACCATGCGTTGGCCAATAAGGACTCTCCTAGAGGAAAGAGCGTCCAGGGGGTAAAGGTTTAAATATTGAGGAGGAGCGCATTTTCAGTCAGTTTGGTTTAAATTAAATTAAATTTCTCCTTTCGAAAAAAGTAACTTATTTCGGTTTCGGTTAAGAGTCTTAGTGGAAGGTTCGAGTGAGACTCCAGTTTTTCTTTGTATTACACTTTTTAACGAGTTACTCCTCTCAATATGATCGCTTTAACCCTTGGTAAGCCGTTGATGTTTTATTTTACATATTAACTTGTAAAGATATTTTATTTTTTTGTTGCTATTGTTTTGGTTTGATTTTAATTCATTACATTTAGTATTTAAATTTAACTTGATTTCTTTTATTAAATTTTATTTAACTTTGCTCCCTAAATCCAAGCCGGCGTGACAAGGTTCTGCTTGTCGCATACGCCTTTAGCACGCCCACACAACAAAGTAAGAGCCGCTCCTTACAGATGCGAACTAATGTTTGCAATATCCATTAACATAATGTAATACGTGAAGGAAAATCAGCAGGTACTAGTGCTTGAACGCGTTGAATGTGATAAGGATACAACAAATTGTCCTTAAGAATTTTCCAAACTGTTCAATGACTTACATTCAAAGTATTTGCAATTCTTCACGTAGAACTATCAGAATCTTCCTCTATCATGTCACATTCTGTTGCAATTGTACCGTTCTTGCAGTCATTGATCTTCCTGGCCCTTCAGTTCGTTTTAATGAGCCTGTTTCATGACAACGTCTGTGTGAAAATGTTTTCGGTCGGGGACATTACGGGCAAGAAATCATTGAATGTACAGGTGTCCCAATTTCGATGTCCGCATAGGCTATCTTCGAAACTACAAGAGATAGAAAAAAAGTAGCTTACATGTCATGATCTCGTTTTTCGAGAAAATGCTAATGCCGAAAACTCCGAACAGCTATCGTCTTTTGTTTTCGCCCTATCGGCAAAAACTAAAAATTTTGCGAAAACGACAATCGCGAATATCTCACTTATTATCAAAAATAAATAAATTATTATTTGATACATTATGTTTCATCATAATAATATATATTATGTATGGTTATCACCATAGCAACATTAACTTTTAAATACATACATTAGTTTTAGATAGAACAAAATGAATTTTTGTTAATTATTCAATAACTATAAGAAATATACCCCATAAACTATATATATTTGTTATCAGAAGAAAATAACAAATTATTTTAGGTCATAGCCAACTATGGTTCCCATTTAAAAAAAAAAGTTACGTCTAAAATCTCGAAAATAAAAGATGGGAAAAAAATCTACCTACGCCACTGAATTCTTCGTAAAAAGTTGCCCATATAATGTTTTATTTTATAATACTCCATCTTTGATAACAAGTGAGATATTCGCGATTGTCGTTTTCGCATAATTTTTAGTTTTTGCCGATAGGGCGAAAACAAAAGACGATAGCTGTTCGGAGTTTTCGGCATTAGCATTTTCTCGAAAAACGAGATCATGACATGTAAGCTACTTTTTTTCTATCTCTTGTAGTTTCGAAGATAGCCTATGCGGACATCGAAGATAGCCTATGCGGACATCGAAATTGGAACACCTGTATAATCATCTAGCTTCTGATGAATTGCCATCAGCAAGTCCATACATGAAATACATGTCAATCACCTCGGCGTTCGTATAAATCGTAATAGAGTACTACACAAAACTGTTAAAGACACGTCAAACAACCAAACGTCACTCAAGGGGTTTTTCAAAAATCATCATAGGACACAATATTCTTTGAATAGGCTAAGGAATAACCCCTTGAATTTATGCAGCATGTTTACCTAACATCCTGTATAGGAGAAATAATATATAGTTATTTTTGATACAAGATAGCGAAATGACACTTTTGCATTCGAGAACGAAAGTTTTTTTTGCGAGCTTTAGCGAGTCGTTTTTTACGTCCAGGACGCAAAAGACTTTTACGTCCCTTTGACAAAAAACTGTCGTTTTGACGGTCGCTAAGTACTACGCAAAAGTCAACTTTTAATAGCAGTTTTCGAAAAAAATGTTTTTTGTACTTTTAAACTGGTCTTTAATTAGATAATAAACTTGAGTCTTACTAGTATCGGCCATCTTCAGAGTAGTTTTTGGACACAATAATAAAGTAAAATATCATTTTACATTTTTTTTTAAAGTTACAAAATAAAATATAAAAGTTTATAGCAAAACTCTTACAATCACGTTAACATGTTAAAAACTTAGAACGTTCTAAGTTAATGTTAATGTAAAATTGATATTTTAATCTATAATTGTGTCCAAAAACTAGTCTCTGAAGATGGCTTGTAGCCGAAACTAGTAAGACAAGTTTATTATCTAATTAAAGACCAGTTTAAAAGTACAAAAAACATCTATTATTTCTCCTAAATTTTTACAAAAGACGTACGGTTTAACCCGAAAGTTTCTAGGTCTAGTGTTAGTTCTATTTTTAGTTTGATCAGACATAAATGTTAAACGATTTCTCAATATAGTGATTTAGTTTATTCTAATGTAATTTACTTTTTATTCTGATGGTATGATTTGATTTGTATTACCAAATTATTTGAAAATAGTCATCTCGTGCGTTTCATTGTAAATAAATTATTTGAGTTTAAAGTGAGAGTAGTTTTGATAAATTTATTTTTTGTAGTTCTGATTTCTGAGAAACTATAACTTTTTGAAGGAAATAATAACTTTAAACCAGTAAGAGTGCATTTTCATACTCTAACCCTTAGAATTTAAAATATAATTCGTTATAAAAAATTAAATTGATTGAAATTATACGTACGGTACTTAACGGTTTTGGTTTAGTGTATGGAAGTGAATTAATCCATTGCAAACATTGTTTACGTAATCTCGGAGATGGATTTGATTTCAAAAAATTTCCATATGGTGTTTCAGGCGTGTCAACTTCATTGTATAATTTAGGCAGTGGGGGAGTTAAAGCGGACAAATTTATTTTAAGATCTCCCTCAAATCGTTTAACAATGTCTTTAACCGGAGTAATTTGACTCGAAGCTTGCGGCGAATCTTCACAAATCTTATTAATTACACCTTTTTTAAGATCTCCCTCAAATCGTTTAGCAATGTCTTTAAACGGAGTAATTTCACTCGGAACTTGCGGCGAATCTTCACAAATCTTATTAATTAATTTTTTTTGTATATTAGTATCGACATTTTCTTTTAATTTATTAGGTGATTTTAATTCTAATTCGGAATCATTATTCGATTCAATTTCAGATTCCGACGACACATCAGATTCTGATTCTGATTCAATAGGTTTTGTTGGCGCTTTAGAACTTCCAACTAAATAATTTCCTTCCCATTTTAATTTGCCACTTTTACAACAATCTAAAAGCCAATCTTTTGTAATAACGGGAAGTCCCCACTTAACAGCGGCTTCGTATTTTTTCCCCTCAGCAATTGGGTTAATTAAATGAGTTGAAGCTAATATATCTTTCCTATTAACTCTGCATAATTGTTCTTGATAAATAGCACCAAGTCTATCAACTAAATCCGCTAAGAAACATCTTTCTGTACCGGAATATGATGAAATTGTAACTACCTTTCCGTGTAAGGGGCCATTTTCTGAATTATCTTCAGTTATATTTTTTAGAATAACCGGTTTATGATAATACTCGATCGAAACAATTTCCAAATTTTGATTACAATCGGTTATAAAAAATTCGGTAACAATTTTAGCATCCCTTGAGGCAACATCACAAATTTTTTTATAATTTTTTTTAAAATTTTTATAAATAAAAGCGGGAACAACGATAAAATCGACGTCGTTTAAATTTAAACGAGCCAATTCATCATCATTATTAATCGATATCGTTTCACCTCCTTTTTCTTCAATACAATTTCGAATCATACCCATTTGATCCTCATCGAACAACGCAACTGCAACTTTGATTCGATTAAAAAATGTTGGTTGTTCGGTTAAATCATCTTCAGTTTCCGAAACTGAAATATTTGATGGATTTCCAGCGATTAAAACTTTCCTCGATGATTGAGTTTTGTCCGATTCTTTTAAAGTGGATGATTTATCATCAATTTGTTTTGAATTAAAATGATTATTTTGAAGGAACTGAGCTATTCTATCTTCCTGGTCTAAAAAAATTAATTTCTGAATAAAAAAAAATAACAAAATAATCAAATTTTACTTGTTAAAGCTGGGTTTAAATACTGCTGAAGAATTTCGCTATTTATATCATTAAAATCATCAGTTGGGTTAGTAGTCGTTTCCTCTTTTTTATCTTCGGAATTTGAAATTTCTTTCGATAATCCGCATCTCAATAACTTTAAACCCTACAATATTAATTAAATTTAATTCACCTTCGAGCAGGCGCGCCGTCATAAAATTTATGACAATCCGTTTTTATAATATATTTCCTTACACTATGCATTTGAAAGGATTTAGCGCTAAAGTATTCATGTATTGTGAACATTGCGAAAAGAAAATTAAAAAAAAACTATTGTTGTCGTCTTTACGGCAAAAAAAGGTATAAGGCAAGAAATTTACACATTAATTGCTGTTTGATAAGGCCGTATTTATATTATGTGAAGTATTTAGGAATATAGAAGTATTATAAACAGGTTTCGGCACGTTTTTGAGGTCCGTAATGACAATTTTGTTGGAATCAGATTTTTTTTCTTCATCTTTTCAATATTACAATCTTTTCGATTTTTTAGTGAGTTTGTAGAAAAATTCAATATATTAAAAGGTTCAATATTTTTCGTGCGAACGCGTCTTATTTGTTACAAAGATTTCAAAGGTTTTGTGCGTGTAAATAAGAGGTCTATTGGGACCGGAAACTAAATTTTAAAACGGGTTTGTTTACACATTGCCGGTCGACCAACAGGTACTCTATGTAATCCGTAAGAATTGTATACATTACCTAGGTAAAGTATCTAAGGGACAATAATCTTCATAATACACTGTTGGAAATAATTCACGAGCACACCCTGTATAATCTGAACGCGTGTGTCTAGCGGAATAAAATTTGGTATGAAAGTAGTACTAAAGTAGTGTAACTTACTCTCACATGGAGAGCGGCACAACTCTGCTGGGAGATGAAACATCAATAGCGAGAGTATCCCCCGTGAGCTTCGCGTACCATCGCTACACGACGTGGCATGGAGTCTATAAGTCGCTGTATTGTAGCGAGAGGGATGGCCAACTATGCCACCTCAACTCGCCTCCATAGCACCAAAACGTTAGCCGGGGAAGCCGGATAACGTTGAAGTCTCCGACCAGTCATTTCCCAAACATGTTCGATTGGACTCAGATCCGGAAAACGAGCTGACCTAGGAAGCATTCGTATACGATGCTCTTCCACAAAGGTCTGTACAATAGGCCCGATGTGCGTTCGGACGTTGTCGTGCATGTATAGGAGATCTGGACGCCGCCGAACGTAGGGAAGCACAACGGACCGTAGCACCTCATCTACGTATCGTTGACCCGTCATGGTCTGCTATACACGCAGCAGACATGTACGTCCACCATGTGTAATAGCACCCAATACCATAATGCTCGGTTGTCGGTGGATAGGGCATTCTTGCACGCACTGCTCGAGTAGACGATCACCACGTCTCCGACGAACTAAAATTCGCGCATCACCTGTGCTCAATTCGAATCTTGATTCGTCGGAAAACAAAATGTCCCTCTACTCGGCAACCCACTAATGCCTAGCGTTGACCCACTCGTGACGTATGCTGCGGTGCTCGGGTGTTACTGGAATCCGCTGTATCGCACGACGCGCGCGCAGTCCACTATCTACCAAACGCTGCCATACAGTTCGCGTAGTGAGTGAGCCTTCCCCTGCCGATGGCCAAACAGCTCCAAGTTGCCTTGAGGAGGACGCACACGACGCTAAAGCGCTGAGCACAAGAGTGCCATCCTCGTGTGCTGGGGTCGCGCAGGGCCGTCCCGGCTGCGGCTGTAGGTACCTATGTCCTACCTCAGACCATTCTCGACATGCCCGTTGCACTGCCGATAACGACCGCTCGAGACGACGCGCAATTTCACGGAACGATACACCCTCAATGTGCATACCCACAAACATTCCTCGCCCAAACTCGCTTAAGTAACGCGATCGCTCATCCATTGCGCACAGAGTACGATAACAATGTGGTCCCTCACACCACACTAAAAACGACCGGTATTTTCCATCCACTTCGGTCTCCATAGCGACGGAATGTTCCACTTGGAAGGGCGGCTCAGTCAACAATGCCGCGATGGAACAACTCGAAACTCGCTGAATAAACTCGTCTACAGTAAAGCTTTGTGCTCCGCAAATATTATGGATTTATCTTCACGCGTTCAGATTATATAGGGTGTGCTCGTGAATTATTTCCAACAGTTTATTTCATACATTGCCTAGACACCCCAGGTATTTTGTACAGCCTGATTCAGAGTAAGCGCATTATTGTATTTTAGCCACACTATGGGCACTACTTTCAAAATATTTGGCAGTAATATGTTTTAGGACATTCTCTACATGATGGTGATATCGTATTTTGAATTGGACGAATTATTTCAAAATGGCGACTGTCAACTTTTTTTTTTAAATGGAGTGCCAAAATTTTTTTAAGTATTGAGATCCTAAAGACATTCTTTTTACGATAGTATTTTGTTTTTCTTAAAAATTCATTTCTTTCCCCATTAAAAAGCTAACTAACATTTTAATCTAGTAGCGCATGAATGTTTTACACTCGATGTTGTTTTTGTCCAAATAAATAAGTAGATGTTTATTACAAAATAAAGTTTAATTGTTTCTTTTGTGTCTATTGCTACTTGATATTATTTTTTGTAATACAGTGTCTAGTAATACAACCTAGTGTGCCATGGAAAACAAATGTTTAATGACTTATTGACAAACGTCAAACGCTGATTTACGTTGTTTGATGCTTGTGAGTCTAAAACCAGTTAAAATGGATATTAATAACGTAAATAATGTTTATACAAATGAAGAAATCCCTAATTTATTTTTTGTGCACGAAAAGTGCGACAAAGTTTTTAGTAGAACTTGCAGAATGTTTAATGAAAATTATCCACATTTACCTCCGACGACAAAAGGTAAATTTAGAAGAATAGAAGCAATTTTTTCGCATTTTGGACGAATTAATCACGTGTTAAACTGACCAAAAAATGTAGTACATAATGCAACGGAAGAAGTGAATACCTTGGCTGATTTCGAGCCCAGTCCCAACACCTCAATTCGAGCTGCCAAAGAAGATCTGGGAATCATACTACGAACTTTGTCGCGCTTTTCATGCATAAAAAATAAATTAAGAATTTCTTGATTTGTGTAAATATTACTTTCGTTATTGTTATCGATTTTAACTTTTTTCAGTACTAATATTAAGGGACCTAACAGATAATTATTAGCTCACATGCATCAAGTGACGTAAACAAGTTAGTCTTTGACAAGAACTCATTGAGGCTTGTTTTTCATGGCACACTAGGCTAAATATCCATATGATGTGTGCATTTTTCAAAAAACCCTAATTATCTCCCAAACTATTAATGTTAGGTATGGGACATATAGGATATAAAAGATGTAGAATGAGACACCGAAGACGACTAAGTAATAAAATATGGGGGGTGCCATTTAAAAAAACGAAGTTATGGTACTTCCAAATTTCGAAAAGTTAACGTGCCATAGTAACCAAACGTGATAGACAGCCGTTCTCGGCACCAAAACATACTCCATCATGTTTCTTAAGCATGTTCTGAATCCTAAATTGATATCCCAAAAATCGAGTGTTCTCTGATTTTTTGAACAAATGTCTGCTGATTTTTCTAGAAAAATTCGAATAACTCGAGAACGGCCGAATCAAATTGGAAAACAGACAAATCCAAATATGTAAAAATATACAGGGTGTTCCATTTAAAAAAATAAAGTAGGTGGCGACTTCCGGTATAATCGGAAGTGTAAGAAATCTGAAAATATTTTAGTCGAAGAGATCGTAATTAATAATACTTAAGACTGAATTCTCAAATTTTTATTTTCGCCAAAACCCCAGAAACGTCTAACGACTGGTCTCGCTGAGACATCCTGTATATTTATGTTATATTTTTTAACGCGCATTCTTTGAGATAAAATTGAAATGTACAGGTGTCCCAAAATTGAGATACCATGCCTAAGTTAACATTTTTAAATAAGAACCCTCATTTTTTGTTGTATTTAGTATTTTCCATGTAGCATACTCTATGTCGATATTCAGCTGAAATTGAAATTCTTATGATAATTGGGCATGGTGATAGAGCGCGAACTCAACGCGAGGTGTGTGTTTTATTTAATAACAAGTATCCCGACAGACCAATAAACCAATCAGTAGCCAGCAAAATTGAGACGAAATTTCGAGATACTGGTTCTGTGGAAGATAAGCCAAAAAAAGGACGTCCTGTAATTAACGGGTCAAGTTAGTCGCATCTATGATACCCCTACATAAGGTTTTACGATTAGAGAAGTGGCATCCTTATAAAATACAACTGGTACAGAATTAAAGAAAACGATCCGGACCGACGAACGCAATTTCGTCAAACCTTAATGGATATGTGCCACAGATTCCCTCGTCATATTGAAAACATTTTGTTCTCAGATGAATCAACCTTTACATTAAGCGAACAAGTTAATAAATAAAACTGTCGCTATTGAGCAAAAGAAAATCCCCAATGGATGAGAGGACAACACACTCACCAATATATTCTATATTTAATTTTATCGTTTTATTTAAAGATAATGCGAAACTTCTTAAACAGGAAACACGTTTCGCAAAGTTCATGGATGAAATGACAAGTGAACTCACGTTGCTATAGTAAATACGTAGTATTTAGCGTTTTCCTCATCTACTATAATAAAAATTTGAATTTTAATCTTTTAGAATTGAAAATTAACGCTTATTTTCTGCAAATACACCATACATGCGATACATCATTGGAAAGCTAAAAATATGCTCTTTTCAGTAACATCATAGTCAAGTATAGTTAGTATTTAAAAAAACACAATTTTGTGTTGTATCTCAAAAATCATCAAGTATGTTTAAAACTTTTCAACGGCAGTATATTCTACTTAAAAAAGTGTCTTAAGAACGTATCAACCCCATTTCTCTAATTTGAAAAATAAACGAAATATGAGCATATTTTGAAATCATTAAAATTTCACTTTTTGGCTATAACTTAAAAACAAAAGAAGATAGAGGTTTGGAGGTTGCGGGATTGATTTAGTTTCGGAAAAAGAGACCAGGACATGGCACCTTCTTTTTTCGTATCTCTTATAGTTTCTGAGATAGCCTAACGTTTC